TATGTACAAACATTGTAACTTTAACTACCTTTGAAATAAATATTATTATCCCTATCGATCTAGTACTGAATTAAAATGGCGCAAAAAAGCCCGCCAAATAAATCTCGGTTTTACTCCAAAATCGTACACCCCATAATTTGTATGCCCTCTCGACCATGACTGGCTTGTGTAATTTTCAGAAGGCAATGATAGTTTTCAAAATAAATAAAATAAATAAAATAAGAAAAAAAGATGGAATGTAAAAATCAGACTGAGTGTCAGACTGTCCCTCTGGAATTGTCTGATGACCTCTCAGTAATGTCCTGCTCTTGTGGGCCCTGGGGAGAATCCATTTTTCATCCAGCGAATTCCACATTTACAATTTTACAAAGCCTTTCTGCACAATTATGATATAAACAGAAAAGAAACAAAACAGGAGTCTCTCTCAGAGAGAGAGGAGATCGAGTTGATAAGATAGCCACGATAGAATGAATTTACTACATATTTATACATTACTAGGTATTTGTACGTACACTTATCTGTAATTATGAACATAATTGAGAACACCGTTAGTCATGCATTTGGCCTGTGGCAGGAGACGTCCATAATGGCAAAGCTAGCCGTGGCAACGTCCCTCTTAATGGTGGCTACAGGCGTGTGGGTTATTGGTATCTTCTTCCAGTTCACGTTCAAGGAAACAAATCTGAAAGAACAGTACATGTTTTACAAGCGCCAGCCAAAGAAGTATGTCAGCGACAGCTTTGAAGAAGTTTACTCAGAAGAGGTATGTAGTAGCTCCTGTCTTGATTAGGAAACGTGGCTGTATGGGATGGCATCCAAAAGGAATTCTTTCATCTGATCCTTTCATTGGAATACGTCCAATACATACATGATGGATACAGATACGCGCTTCTATTGAAACCTTGAGCACTCTGGCTTGAAAATTCGTGCCAGCTCGACAGCACTCTTTTATTTCTGCAAATAACCCCGTATCGTCTATAGTGTAGAAAGTTTTATACCCGTTTAATCGATAAAATAGGAGGGAATTTGTCTACTCATTCACACTGTTTAGTACACGCAAGTAACTAATTCAATTGAAATATAGCGATAAGTTATTATACTTCTACATATCTCATTATACGTGCCACCATGAATGTAAAAATTTATTTCAATACAATTGTATGCATATATATGAATTTATATATATATGTACATATATATATGTCTGAGTCTGTGACTGAGTCTGTGACTGTGTCTGTGACTGTGTCTGTGACTGTGTCTATGTCTATGTCTGTATTTGTCTGTGTCTGT